CTTTTTGACTAATTATGGAAAACTCGGAAATCGTAAACAATTTGTTAATTGAATAAATATTGCACAATGTCTCTCATTATTGTTTGCAGATCGAAGAAGAGGAAAAAGGTTTTTGTGATTTTATGCTTTACTGATTAATTACATTGAAAAGTAAGTAGTAAGTACGATACATACTTAACAACGTATTATAATATATTACTTATATTTTGATAAACGAAATGTTCAGCTATTGTTCACAACACATGAATAAGTTTTGATCACATTGAATAAATACTATGGTCATTGACTTATCACATATTTACCGGTGTAATTCAAATTAACCGATCGAGATACCTACTTAGATCTTACCGATTCGCGTGACAGTCAAAAGGTTGTGTGTTTAACTACTTATTGTAATCAGACCACTTCAAGCATTTCTGTCTGTCTATTTGGCTAACAGATTTAAATTATGCGCATACATTATACGCAGCGGTATCATAACTATTTACTTGTTGTGGTCTGTCGTCCACCGGTAGATAAACCTTGGCAATTTTGTCTGTTTTAAAAGTTGCATTATTGTAGATGTCGTAGGATAATTTGATATTTCGAATCTTCGCGGAAATCCTAGGGGTTTTGCGAAAACGCGGATAATTAGACATAGGCGAAAAATTATCAAATCTTACTGGACAAAGTCAGGATTTTTGCGAAAATACTCGTTACTATAGTAAGATTTGATGTGCTCAACACTGATTGGCTACAATTTTGGTGGCTGGCTTCTAATTGGTTCCTAGTTTAGGTGAGAAAGAAAAATCACTAAATTGATTTTTATAAACCTTTTATTGAAAATTTTAGTATGTATGTTGTTTTCTACAGACAATAGGAGATCTCAGTCGTTGTAAAAAAAAAATGATCCAATTTTAGGGTGTAATCCATAAATTGGATGAAACTGGTCGTTTAAGACGACGAAAAAACATTTAAGACGTCAACCAATCAGAGACGATCTCTTATTGAACGCGCTGACCGACCAACCAGCGTTCTTATTTCATAACAGCCAGCGTTTCGTTTCGCAATCTTACTATAGTAACGAGTATTTTCGCAAAAATCCTGACTTTGTCCAGTAAGATTTGATAATTTTTCGCCTATGTCTAATTATCCGCGTTTTCGCAAAACCCCTAGGATTTTCGCGAAGATTCGAAATATCAAATTATCCTACGACATAGATAAGTGTGAATAAATGCTGTTTGATTTATTTCTTCACTTTGTAGACTAATGTCCATTGATGTAGTGCTGGAGGTAATCTGAAGGTCATTACTAAGCTTGTTTAGTCGCGTAATTGGAAGATACACGATAATTATTCCGAAATATTGTCTAGGAGTGGCTCTCGCCGGATGATCGTGTCACTCAATCAATGGATTCATTCATCTTTATAATACCTACTACTCCTTACTATGTAATTATACATCTTTAGAAAGTTTCACGATCGCTATACAAACAAAAACTTTTGTCACGGTTTTGAGAGGCAGTATCAAAATTGTTTTAGAATTAAAGTAGGCTATATCGGCTAATGCAATTATTGTGCTGAATAATTCAATGGGCTATCAGTAACTCGTTGTAATTAGGAGCTATTGTGGGGTTAACTAATTGAGCTGTTGCTGCCTTCCATTTACTGACGACACCATTGTATTAGAAGACGTTACGTCTGGCATACTGATATTCGGTAATTAGCCAAGTATTTATGTCTCAACATAGCTTATTTATATACATTAATACATACCTATGTATTTAAGTATTTTTTATGCAAAATAGTGTAAGAAAGACCTTTGACACATGAATTTATTACGTGTACGGTGTATTAGTCGGAGACTTACGATATCTCATTGTATGCATCCGTTTGGCGAGGGTCCAGCTCTAGATAAACTGAAGGAAACGTAATACATCATTTGATAAGCAACTGTAATTAATACTTTTATTACAATAAATAAGGTTTATTTTCATGGTGCTACGTTTATTTAATTTAATCATATTTTATTTACATAAATCAAATAAAGATTTAGAACATTGGTTACAGTAGTTTTCTTTCATATACTTATTTAACAATTTTATAAACGCGGTGGAACTTGGTGATATTTATATGAAAACACAAAAGTTTTGTCACTTCTCATCTATGCTTATCCCCCCTACTGCTACGTATAATAAGTAGGTATCTTACTACGATAGTATTGGGTAATTTTATGGGAACAATACTTATGTTGAATGACCGCTTGATGAACTATTATTGCATATTATATTGTTAACAAAACGATAGATATACTACCTATAAATAAATATATAAATTGACACACATTTCATAGGTAGGCCCGAAATTATGAAACCAAATCAGTTTAGTTCTTGATTAAATATATTTGAATACTGATTTCGTAATTTGTTGACGTTTAGGTTTCATTCCATCAGATGTCCATGAAACCTGATTTCTTGACCTAAGGTTTAGACATTGAGATTACCTACTTACTTATTTTTTATATAAGTTGAATATAATGAATATTAAAATTTAAACGATTGAATTAATTAGTTAGTGGTGTTTCGGTGTTTATATTTTAGGTCTGTGAACATCCTTTGGAATTTAATTGATTAACTAAACCTCAAAGGTTTAAAATATTTAAGTAATGAAATGTTTTATTTATATTGACGTTTATTAATGCACGATATCTATGGGTACTAGGTTACTCTAATCACACTATACTATATGTATGTCCTAGATTATTATGTATCTGTGAGTTCTGATTAACACAAGTAACCAAAATGTAGTCCATAATATGTAGGTACATTATGAAAAAGTAAGATACATTGTTGTAAAAGAGGCATAACAGGTATCTGGTCAGGAATTCTTTTTTAAAAACCCAGAATTAGGATATTAACCTACTTTTATGTATCTTAAATTACGACTAAATACCAATAATGCTTCTATTGCAAAAAGGTCAAATTATGAAATTACTTACAATTACAAAAAATATCACATTAGCTAGCCGACACTACCACTGTCTTAAATGATTGCGATAACAGTAACTTTTGTCATTGTTATCCCTTAAATTATAAGTGCTAACAAATGTACGTATTTGTGCAATAGATGGTGCGTTGAGAATACTAGGTAAACACCCCAAGTTTGCTTCTCTCAATAAAATACTCAAGCTAATAAACGCACGCTTAACCACTATAAATCATTCGGTCTACGTTGAATTAATAATTAATGGAAAATGTTTGTGTTCACTATCAGCACTTGTTAAATTTTAATTAAAATGTTCTATCGTGTGCACTTCATAAACGATAATCGGTAAAGTATTGTAACGCGAAACCGCTTAGATAATAAATGTGTGTTTTTCGAAATCACAAACGGACAATAGACACTGTTTTATTTATGTGTAAAGATCAGAGACGCTCCTCAATATTCGGCGTAGTGGTGGCGAGTATAAAACCATAAGCGACTCATACGGATCATTACAGAGCCGCACGCATCTGCAGCCATGAGAACAGCGGTGAGTGACACACGATCACACGACACTCGGCACACGTGACACACTACTAGTGAAATTGTGTACCTACACTTTGCATATTTAACTAAATCCATTAATGCGGACGCCGTGGATTTCTACTTAAATTAATATTTGTTTTTCCAGTTAGTGATACTGTCGTTGGTGGCAGCCATAGCGGGCGAGGCGCCCTACCACCTCCCGCGGCCGGGAATAAACGCACCAGTGTTCAACTACCCTGCAGCGCCTGCGCCTGCACCTGCGCCTGCGCCTGTCCCCCTACTACCTGCACCGCAGTTCCAGCCTCAACAGCAGTTCAACCCTAACTCAGGCTACAATTACCCGGCTCCTCAGCCGCAGTATATCCAGCCTGCACCCCAGCACCACCCTCACCCACCCCCACCTCCAGCCCACCACCACCATCACCACCACCACCACCAGGCGCCTGCTCCAGTATACATTCCTTCACCGGCTCCTCAGCCCATACTTCGTCCTCAACCACTACCAGTGTTTCAACCTCAGCCACAACCTATTTACCATCAGCCCAGTCCTTCTTATGGAGTGCCTCAGGCATTTGCACGAGCACCAGTGCAACAAGCGCCCGCGTTACCTGTGTTCGCTCCTCAACCGGCACCACAACCTCAAGCACAAGTAAACTCAATCAGCCAGGTCTACCAGCCCATTTCATACTACCAGCAACAGCAGCAACAACAACAACAACAGTACTCACAACAAGGGTACAACTACCAGCAGCCTCAGCCACAATTCCAGCCTCAACCACAATTCCAGCCACAACCTCTAGCTCTCCAGGCTCAACCACTGCTCCAAAATTCTGCACCTGTACTCTCCAGCTACCAGGCTGACTCCAACCAGTACAACATTGCTCAAGAACAAGTACACAGAGACGCTCTGGACTCCGTCGTAGTGAATCGTGTGCAGAATATAATCAAAGATGATGAGCACAGTGTTGCCCGTAATGCTGGATACCAGTCCTTAGTGTCAGGAGTGTCTCTCGAACAAGCTAAACCTAGTGTAGAAATCACTTCCTTTGTCCACACATCACCAATAGTGACAAGCTCTGGACATAGCGCAGAATTATCGTCATCATCATCGTCGAGCTCATCCTTGGCGTCTTCCGCAGTGTCAGTTCCTTCAGTAGACTACGGAGTTCCTTCTGCGCCTGCTGCCATAAACTCCCAATCTGCAGAGTCATCTGCTACATACAATTTCTTACCACAGAACAAGCCAGCTATATCGTACGGACCACCAAACTAATTTAGGTTACGTCTAAGTATTATTATACAAAGAGCTTTGTAAATAGTCGATTTTTTAAGACCTGTTGTAAATAAAATACAAAATAAACCCTTTATTATTTTTATTGTTCGTTTCATTATAATTATTTTTATTTGTTATTCATTCAGTAACAATTATTACAAATATCATAAATACATACAAAAATACAAACACGATACATGCACATACAAATATTAACTCTGTTTAACATGTTGTTCTTGTGCATTCTGTGTTTAATTTATCAGCGCAGATAATTTTCATAAAGAGCGGATAGTCGGCGACACCCTTGTCCTAAAAAATATTAAAATTGTGTAATGATTACGTAACAAACGTGCTGAGTGTACGTAAGAAGTGATAAAAACTTACGAAGCATATGGAATGGTCCGATGTTTGTGCGGCGTCCTCCGTGACACAGGTGACTTTGCTCACTATCGCTACTTCCTTCACTGTGCAATCACACTTGCCGTCGACTACAGTTACAGTAGATTGAGATTGCCGCCTTATGGATTTAGGGCCAAATATCTGATTTACCTCTTGAGATTCCTGGAAAATGCACATTAAAGATCAATTTTATTGTATTGTACTTGTAGATGCTTATTTGTATACTGTCAAAGAAACTAACCAAGTTTAAAATAAGAGCTTTTAATCAAAATTTACCCGTTTGGGAGCGACTTCGTTGACACAACATGTACACTGAGTAGACTGATACTGGGGCTTAGTATCAACCTTCTCTACATTCTCTTCAGGACATTGACAACATATTTGTAACTTTTTCTCCCTTTTTTGTTTTTTGAACGGAACTTTTTCTACTGAGAGAATGATCTGGACATTTGACACTTTACTGGCCTGTCTCTGAAAAAGTTAACATTATTTATTAAAGTTGCCCAACTTTTGTATTTTTATTATTATGTTTTGTATAAATTGCTTCCACTCCCAATTCGTCAATATACATCATTTTGAAGAATTACCGAAATCGGTGCGTTTCCGGTATCTACATTGCAACAGGTCGGCGCTTGTTGTTCTTGTTTTGCAGGCTCACACTGCACTTCTACATTGACTGGAATAACTATCTCTTCTGGAAATTGGCAGGCAGCGCAGACTGCTCGTGATTTCGACGGCACTTGTTGAGTTTGATCTTGTTGACATAATTCGCAGGTTCCCTGTGTTTTCGGACCTTCTTGTGCTGCTTGTGGTATTGTGTCTATGGGTTTCTGCACACTCCTCTCACAGACGCTACTGAGGCTTTGTGATCTCCCAGAAGATCTTGCACTACAGGGTATATTAGACGATGCCACGGTAGCGTTGGATCTAACGTTGGACGATGGAGTTCTGAAATTATAAAACATCATAAATACAAAAAAACATAGTTGACTAAAAACTACGATTGATTAATAATATTAGTGATCCACTAACTGGTAGCAATTTTCAGATACAGCGCGCGTCAAATCCTTCGGTTGCAATATAAATTCACAGCTTTGATTATGGCCCCTTGAAATAATAAAATACAATTTAAAATTATTCATGTTAAGTAAACGAAACATGTAAACAAAACAAATTTTGGTTTACAAACTTTTCAGGGAAATCTGCGTTGTTACATGGATGTCTACGTTTTTTCCATGGGCTAAAAAGATAGAGGTTATACATATTAATGTAATGGTGGTCAATTCAAAAGGTGCATACTTAAAACAAGTAGCAGTGACTTACCTTTTGATTCGCGAAAATTTTCTAGTACACGGGTCACGTATTGCACTGAAATTGGTAAACAGATTCTTGATCACATTATATTTGGATATACATAGAATAAGCGCAAATAAGCATATAAATACAAGTTATTTCGTTTCCTATATTAAAGCGATTTCAAAATATTGTAATTTTATCGTGAAAATTCAACAGAGTGACACGCCGTTATTAAAGATGATAGTCGTAATATGATGAGATGGAATTCATGTACCTATCAAGAATTTGTAGCTTTTGTCGATGCTGTTTAGTGCATAACAAATTGACAATGGAGAAAACTTTAAAATGGAATGCAGTTTACGACATGCTTTTTAACACATAAGTATTGAACTATTATAGTATTACGAAAGTGGGAAACGATGTGTCATTGTTGTATATTCTAGAATGTGTCAATGCATTTCATACCAAGGAACAATTTCTTCTACGGTTGTCGTCTTCTGTATCTTCAGCTCGTAACACTGGTTCTGTCGATTCTCACACAGGTACTCAATGTATTTATTATCCAACCAATCGGCGAAACTGGTCACTTCCGGGTTAAAGTCATACCTTTCTGGTATACGTTCCTTAATGAAATACAAATGTTTATAATATTGTCAAAATCATTATCATTTACCCAGTTTTTTTCGATCGATTTAAAGCTTTTGTTTTGATTGACGTACTTACCTGACGATTTTGTTGGGTTCTGAGTTTGTATACCGCTAGTCTAATAGGTCTAATTTGTTTTTTTTAATATATTTTCAGTCATGTTTCAAACAAAGGCAAATTACGGTAGCTGTACTGAAGTTTGTACTTTTAAATAAATATTTTTACCTGAGTGTACCATTTGAAAGCTTTCACAAAACAATTCTCTTTCTTGGGTACGCATGTTTTGCACCTGTTTTGAGACCGGGGCTAAAACATATAACCAATTGATTTGATACTTCTGAATTGTGGATAAAGAATAGAATAGATAGAAGAATAGAATAAAGATAATTTTTAAAGAGAGAATTTAATTCAATTCTCTTCGTGGTGATACTGGTTGATGAAAGAATAAACAATGATAATAAATAGTCACATTCTTCACTCATATATTATTATATTAACCTAAGCTAGGATTACTCTATAGTGTAATTCATTGACCAACAACTCGACATTTGTTGTTTACACAAGGGCATGATGTTCCTAAATCGTTGTATCTTCATCAATAGTTCCACTCCAGCTAACTTTGCAGTAAAATCGTACTAGAAGAATGATTAATACGAAAGGCTTTGTTTTGTAAATCTGAAACACTTACTAATTCAGCGTAGTATACTAAAGGATGAGCCATAGTGGTAAACGTAGGGCCCCGTCGACTGGTTACCTTGGACTTTCCATGATAAAACATGCAGCTGTTGCGTTTATCTTCAAGTAAATAAGTGCATTGAGAGCAATCACAATTTTCACAATCACTGGACGATGTGGAAGACATAGGGAATTTTTACATTACACAATAAACACAAAAATGTTCAGATTTTGGTGATTTGGCCAAAGATTTAGATTAGATCATGACGTCTTGGTTACTTTCTGTCATATTGTCTTCCTATCAGTTTGGTTTTCAAAGAAGATTGAACCAATAAGTATTTATATTTTTTCCTTGCTAACTTTGATTGGACGACTGATTTAGATATAATAAACTTATTATTTAGTTTTGAGTTTTTGAGTAAAGATCGTTATTTGTATAAGTTAATGAGAGGCATAATACGGTTGTCATATGTTATTGAGGATTAATAAATTAATTTTATTAAAAAATACTTTGACTGGCCGTGGCTTTGACCTTTTGGAACATGTAAAAAATGTTGCTTTAAGTTCTTTATGAATGCTTATACTTAATTGGGCTGATTGAGTTTTTGATTCATTTTTCTAACCGTCCTTTGAGTTTACAAATAAGTTTTTAATCTCTCCTCCATTTTTTATTTCGAAGCCCCATTGAATTGTTACCGTTCGCGTTGTAACAAATGGCAAACTGCAAAATGTTGTTTTACTGGATTATATTACTTTCATCATGTATCCCTCTAGTGTTTAGTTATAATAATAGGCTGTTTACGTTGTTCAACTCTGAAAATGTTACCGGTATGTACCTACTTTAATTTGATAATTTGATTTTATAGGAAAAAAATATGCATAAATATTTTCTGTTCTAGATTCCCAATGTGGTATTTATCACTCATCGTTTCAGGAATTGAAAAGGTTTACATTTACTAAGACTGTAGAAGACCAAACTATTTTTGGGTACACCTTCATCACCGTCAGCAGTTTTATTCCAAACACCACAGGTAAGATATATTATCCTGGTAATTACCTCATTAAGTATCTATTAAGTCTTAGTTCTGAGAAAGTAATGGAATAACCGAATGTTAAGAATAAAATGCAACCAAATGGTAAGGATGCACGGAATGAGTCATATTGTATTGTGATACAGATGCCTAATTACGGCATATTTCCCTTAAACATGGATGATTATAACAATTGAGTAAATTATTTTCTTTCTACCAATACTATTAAATTTTTTTGCAGATCCCTTAATAGGATTTGATAATATTTTCAATCGAGTTTTATACGGACGCAAATCTGGTAAGTATTTCTGTTATCCATTACCTGCTAGTAGTAAAGTGATACGCTAACTAGTAAAGTAGTAATTTATATTTAGATATTATAAATGTCATATAATACCTAGGCCTAGGTATACATAACGTTTTAGTGAAATTTCGGTAGAAAAAGTTGGGCAAAGTTTAAAATTCGTCATAGTAATTATGTGAGTGACACAACGTTGTATAATATCGAAAACCTGTTGGCGGAAGCTTTCGGCGACCTAGTGTAGGCATAGGTACTTATATATTATTTATATTCAGGGCAGTGCGGTGACCACTGGCCACCTGACCAGTCTCGGTGTCTCTGTCTGTTGCCTAGTAAACATTTGGGTCATAATCATAAACAAGGCGCAAATTTTAATATCATAAACTAACTCAATTTTGCCAGCAACTTTTCTACTTGGAAATTATGGAGTTACTGTTTTCCTACTCTCCATAAAATGTGAATCCTTTATTTTTTACGGTTCAGAAGATTTAATCACTCAGTCAATATGAATGGAAGAGTTATTAGTAGCCATTATTTGATAAGTAGTTGATATCTATGATGATGATCATCTCCACCTCGTCCTCCTCCTTGCATCATATTTGCTGGGGGTCGTAACCACACTTTTGCACCACTTTCCCACTCAAAGTCTTTTCCATGTAATTCTGTGTTAGATAGTGCGAAGGATTTTTGTATAGTGAAATCCATTATGAACATATCATGATCTTTTAGTAAGTAGGACTTGCTATAGTAATATATACCTGATTAGTATGTAACCTAGAACAATAAATACTTTTAAATCATGTTAAGAGGTCAGTGTTCTATTTATTTGGCACAGAATTTATGGAGCCAGACAAAGATTTTGAATTTGAGACCCTTAAATATCCTGAAAACGATAACCTGGCGCACTGGCCCTCGGGACAAGTTATGAGGTAACCTAAGTTGTAACCCAGGTAGGTTACATTACATTATAATTGTGATACCTGGCTATTTGTACATTATCCATTTCGTATGGTTTATTTATTTTCGCATTGTTATTTACTTAATAGTACCAATTTTGTGTATATGACACAAGTATTACATTATTGCAGATCAGAAACATTTCAAGGCAAGAGTGCTGTGCACATGCCGTTCCTGGAGTACATGCATAAGGGTCACTGTCGTCTGAAGGTCACCAAGGATTATATGCAAACGGCTGTTAATGCCTTCGCCATATTTGTTTCTGGAGACCTTTTTGATATTCAAAATTTACCTGCATCTTACGTGCTAAACTCGGTTAGTTATCATTATTATTCAGTCACTTAGGAAGTAGCAATGGGATTTAAACTGACATTACCTTTTCGCCAGTTCTGGTAATCTATTTATAGTATATTGCCGCATACTAGACATGACACTTATGACTCCTTTGGTGTTGCGGGTGTCCATGGGCGGCGCTGATCGTTTACCATCACTATACGTCTGCTCGTTTGCCTCCTACTCCATAAAAAATAAATCATTGCAGATTTAGAAAATTTATAAATAATTATTTGCCAGGCGTAGTGATCGAACTCAAAACCTTTGTATGTAAGGTACATACATGCAACGCCCGACTAACGATGCAACGATGCCTTTTGTAATTTAATTAATTGTCAAAAAATAATTATTATCTTTTTGTAAGACTACCTGATTCATTGCGATCGAGTGGTCACAAGTGCAGCTAGGCTAAACATTGGTTTAGCTCCATTCAACTCAATAATGTGTAAGACATGACAGGCTCGCACAATAGCCATGATGAAGGTGGAACGTGAGAAGCTGGCAGCGACGTGGTATGTAGTTAAAGGGTCCACATCGACCGTGAACGTCACTTATGAAACCCTGGAGAAGTTCCGACCACTCTTCAAGCATGTTAACGCCAGGGACATCGCCAGGCTCAATTTGTCCGATGATAAGATACTATCCTATATCGGTACACATCCTGATCTTAATAGACATCAGGTAATCAGTTCTTAAAAATAATTTTAATGCAATCAAACAACTAAATAGCACTTTAAGATTAGATTCGTTCGTAGCGATGAGTTCTTTATTTTCTGTCTGATTATTTTGAGGAGAAGCACTAAAACTCTTTCAAAGTCCAATTTCGATTTTAGGTTAATATAGACATAAATTTTATTACTGCACTTTTTTTTATTGGGACAAGCCCGCCACAAACTACCAAAACCGCTGCAACTCCTGTAAACCAGGATCTACAGTAGATACAACCATGAAAACACCGGAACATTGAAGTCCGGCGCGTCCCAGGGACATGAGTAACTGCCTTGGTTCCCGCAACGAAGTGAATCAGAAGATATTATAAGAGGAGAAGAAGAAAAATTACTGTACTTATTTAAAGTCACATTGTTGAATAAACAGCTATATGTTGTTATACCACAGGTGGGGGTGGTGGCCAGTAGATATATACAATTAAATCCTAGATGGACAGAGCCCAGATACCTGAACCTTATGAACAACTTGTTATGTGGAGTACCCATGATCTTCATGAGGAGGATCCCGGAAAACACATACCTGCAACTGACGCACCAGGTTTATAGATGAACTTTTAACACGTTCACTGAGACCTTAGACTAGTTATCATCATCACAACACATTTATCTTCTTCGCAGATATTCTACCACATACGGGCATGTGATCCATTGCAGCGCAAGTTCTATTTGACAATGATGATGAGAACTCAGGTAAAAATGTTCCATAAACACATCACATACAAGAAAAAAAAACATACATGGGCTCATGTGATTTGTGACGTAACTGATGTGAATAGCTCCTAAATATTTTTATATAGTTGATATAGTTAGTAGACAGATTACAACACATTGCCGTATGGTATGTACAGGCGCTCGGTAAATCATACAGTTGGAGTGCGCGCGAAGTATCTCGGCTCGGATTGTTGCTAGCTGAAGTCAGTGGCTCGGACCTGAGTGCCGTCAACCCTGAGGCTATGTCTGGTATTACGTCACAGGTTAGTTGATGCTAGTTAGATACCACACAAGAACCAAAAAGATTAAATTTATCTTTGCTCTGCGAATCGCGGTTATAGAGCAGAACTTAAATATGTTTAATTGAATTTGAATAATTATATAAAATTGCATTGTTATGAATCTGTACACAAATTTATGTAAATGAAACTTTCAGGTAATGTTGGAAATGCCGATACAAAGCCTATTGTCGATCACAGAGATGCAGTTACGTTACCTCGATACCAAGTGCCTCAACATCTTGGCGCGTAAGCTGATCTCTTATCAAGAATATCTTGAAAGCTCCAGCTTTAAAGGCTATCCAATATGGCCTCCACGATATTCATTAATATTAGTTGTCTGTGTTATACCTCTACATGTTATATATTATAATCAATTTTAGTTCTTATTGTAAACATTGTTTCATTCGTGTTCTTGATGAATAGCTATTGCTGGTGTAATAAAAGCGCCTGTTGTAACGAAAAAGCAAATCAATATGCCTCTTCGTAGTATTGTACAAGTCCAGGGACGACAGCAAAAAAAAGTACCCAATAACTCAAGTAAAAAGAAAACGAAAATAATTATTTGTATGTTTTGTATTTTCAAAATGAATAATGTTTCAATACGTCCAACGGCGGCAGATGGAATGAATATCGCCCATCTTCATGGAGTCGAGCTTCCAGCTACAAAAGTGTGACATAATGTACATTATTAAGGTATTTTACATACTTTATTTATAATCAGAACTATTACTAACTTACCATAACACAGCACCACTGCGTCTGTGAGTGCGTGTGTGAGACATCCTGCTGGCCTGCTTGGGACTGCACTTGCATGCATACTCGACTGGTCAATTGTTCATCAACTTCTGGGTTTTTCTGTAGGCATGTCGGTGGACAGACTTTCTGACTTCCTTGTGACTGATTCGTTCCTTCTTTTGGTTGAGAGCTTTCTTGTGACTGCATTTGAGTTTGCGATGGGTTTTGTGTAGTGTCTTGTACTGGAGGACAAGTCTGACATTTTTCTTGTACCTGTTCCTGTTGCTGTGTTTGGTTTTGAGTTTGAGGACATCTTTGTGGACAACCTTGGGTTTGCACTTGCTGACTTGTGTCAGGGCAACTTTGTGATTGTGTTTGTGGACAGCACATCGTTTGTGCAGGTTGAGAACAATTTTGTGATTGCAATGCTGGACAATTTTGTGATTGCAATGCTGGACAATTTTGTGGTTGCAATGCTGGACAATTTTGTGTCTGTGGGCAATTTTGTACTATCACTACTTGAGGACCTGCTTGTGGACAAATTTGCGGACACTGCTTCAGCACGCCGCGGGATATTTTTGACCCAAGCTGTGGCTGTGAGGATTGTTGCGAATCATCCGTTTGGACGCTTGTTTGAGGATATAATTTGTTGCAGTTGGTGTTTGGTGTATTGCAAGTGGCATGGCAAGTGGCAGTGCAAGGGGCATGGGTCGCCATAGATAGCTGAGAAAAGCTATCTTTTCTAAACGCGCATTTCAAACTGTCTTCAGTTATGCTTACTTTATGTTTAGTCACTAGACATTCACTTTTAGTATCTTCTGTTTGAGATGTGGAGTTTATGACAGCAATAAGCCTTCCTGTGTCTTTTTTATTTGTTGCACCAGTTTCTAAAGCCATATCTGAATGAGTCTTCTTTATTGGAATACCACTACTGAATCGTTTTGCATCACACTGCACTGTGGATGCACGTGACTGACGCAGATTATCACAATTACATCTGAAAGTGTTATGAAATTAAGAAATCATTTTCTGTTATAGCAATTTTACACGTTTGAATAGATGATCATTGATGATCATTGTGACTGTTTATTTGCTTAACTATAATACATATTGAAAACTAGTAAATAAAACAGCCAAGATACCTACTAATATACGTATACTTACATACATATACATACGATGATTGATGAATAAAGTTATCTAAGCAATAATTCCACCTTGTAAGAGAACAGATATTCTAAATTCTGTTCTGTCAAGGAACCCATATCTTAATTACAACAGGTAGATCTGGAAGTCTTTACATGCGTTCTATGTTCAGAAATGGAGATTAAATGGCTGATAATTATGATAATGCTAAGATTTTTAAGGACAAAAAACATTATAACGTACCTAACATGTGTTATTTAATATTATAGTGATATCGATGTTCAGGTGGCGTATTATGACGTCTTAAAGCCAGAGTGGTTCCGCTGAGGGAACGAGATCTCGATAGACGACTTGTATAGCTCTCTTTCTTTCCCTCAAAGGAACTATTCTGACTTTAAAACGTCATAGTAACCCCGCTGATCAGGTACCAGTCGATCATAAATTTTAGACCAGAAGTTTATTTTTGTAAAAAATGAGTTTAGGTAGGTTAAGTCTTACCCATCTTCTAAATGTTGCGGAGAGCTTGGTAATAACACGATATACTTTTTACTTTCACAGCATGCTGGTAGATCGCTTCGGGGCTGGTTATTTAGTCTGTCACAACAAGCACATTGGACAACCATTACTTTCGGATGACCCTCAAAACCGCTTCCCTTACAAGTCTCTTCATCGAGTAATGATTGTAATGATTTGCTTTGCTCATATAAATCATCATCTATCGTTATTTGTGATCCTTTTTCTATAGTAACTATATTTGTTAAGGACCTGGACTTTTGGGTAGTATTTTGGGATGATACCACTGACCTGTCTCCATTTATAACTTCAATGTTCAGTTTGAGATTGACTATGTCCCCTTTATTTAAAATTGATATGACATTTTCTTTTTCATTAGTAGCGACCATGCTGTCTTGTAAGCTAGGTAAGTTAGAAAATGCCCACTGCATTTTTGTTGTATTATATGCAATAGCTCCCTGCCCATGCTGCTCCGCTGCATCACAAACTTCTGCATACGTTTGAACTCCTTCGTTAACAGGGATAGATATGACGCTGCGCTGAATAGTAAAAAGTCCTGTTTTTGCTTGGTCCGGAGCATCCTTAATATCATCAATAACGTGTTTAACCGAATCTAATCTCATGGAGGCTATTTCAGTTTCAGGATTTCTTAGTAAATTTTTAGAGATAATAATTATTTCTTTATCACCAATAAAATTTTCTATAGGAATACTATCTGCTGCTAAACTTTTTTGATTAGATATAACCTTTATAATTGAAGTGGAAGCTTTCTTTGTGTCCTTAGAACCAAATTCTACCATCGGAGGTGTAGTAACAGGTGAAGTAATGTGCTGGAGTGGATATTTGGCTACTGAGTATTGTTTTTTAAGTTCATTAGAAACAAAGTCAGGGATATCTGTATTATCTTTTGTAACTAATTTCTCTTCTGATTGATTTGGTACATTGGAAATCGGATTTTGTGGCCAATGTGTTATAGTTTTGTAGACACTTGGATAATTGTTCGATGACTTTCCTGTAGATAAGCTACTTTTACGTGCCTGTTGTTGTGTTTCAGTTATAGGAGAAGTTACTATAGTCGTGTTTCCTCCTGTATTGTCTAATCTCACAGGTTGAAAAGTTCTTTTGTCGACATCATTTAGTATGGGATTCGGTTCGCCTAATCTATCGTTGATGTCAGTATCACCTAATGGAGTTTCAGATTCATCTAGTTGCACAGGCGGTACTCCCAATCTAGGTCTAGGATTTGTTTTCTCTTTAATACTTGTTCTCGCTCCAGCTGTAATCGGCTTGTTACGATGATCAGCTGTTTTCAAAAGTGAGCCTTTCCTTTCAGTATCTTGACCACTGCCACCCCTGATCCGAAGATCACCACCTTTGCTGTGATTTTCTCCGAATCTAGATCCAAGATCACTTTCTCTAATTTTCTGCAGACTTACTCGATTATTTCGCTCAGGATCTTTCAATCTAGACTCGTTTATTCTAGCTGTATTTTCATTAACTGAGCTTCTTGGTTCTCCTACTTTGTTTCCATTCATTCCGTTTCTAGTTTTCTGTTGACTCAGCTTGCGTGTATGTTCATTTTCTCTGCCTTTCTGTTCACTAGGTGGACCTTTATATCCAATACCATTGTTTTTCAATTCACTTATTTTCCGATCATATTTATGTTCTGCTTTATTCTGTTGACTTATATTGTCATTCAATGAGCTTCTAGGGTCACTTAATCTACTTCCATGCAATCCGTCTCTTGTTTTCTGTTGACTTGATTTTCGCGCAGTTTCATTTTCTCTGCCTCTCTGATTGCTAAGGCGACCTCTATATTCAATACTATTGTTTCTCAGGTCATTCATTCTTTGGTCAAATTTATTTTCTGCGTTATTGTAGTCACTTTTATATTTATTGAGTGAGTTTCTTGGCTCTTCTATTTTGTTGCCGTTTGTTCCGTTTCTAGGTTTCTGTTGACTCGGTTTAGGTATGTATTCCATTTTACTAACTCTCTGTTCACTAGTCTGACGTTTATGATCAAGACCATTTCTTTTCAGTTCACTCATTCTCCGGCCAAATTTAGTTTCTGCGTTATTGTATTCATTATTATATTCACTTATATTTTCATTGAGTGAGCTTCTTGGTTCTTCTACTTTACTTCCGTTCATTCCGTTCCTAGGTTTCTGTTGACTCGATTTTGGTGTGCATTCATTTTTATTGCATCTGTGTTCACTAGCCTGACCATTGTAATCATTGCATTCATTGCACATTTCATAAAGCTGACTTTTATGATCAAGACCATCTCTTTTTAGTTCACTCATTCTCCGATCAAATTTATTTTGTGCGTCATTGTATTCACTATTATATTCACTTATATTTTTATTATATGTGCTTCTTGGTTCTTCAATATTATTTCCGTTTATTCCATTTCTAGGTTTCTGTTGACTCGATCTGGGTGTGCATTCATTTTCATTGCATGTGTGTTCACTAGGCTGACCTTTGTAATCATTGCATTCATTGCACATTTCATAAACCTGACCTATATAATCAAGATCATCCCTTTTCAGTTCATTCATAACACGGTCAGGTATTTTTTCTGTGTATTCACTTTTATATTCACTTATATTGTCATTGAGTGAGCTTCTTGGTTCTTCTATTTTATTTCCGTTTATTCCATTTCTAGGTTTCTGTTGACTTGATCTGGGGGTGCATTCATTTTCATTGCATGTGTGTTCACTAGCCTGACCTTTGTAATCATTACATTCATTGCACATTTCATAAACCTGCCCTGTATAATCAAGACCACCCCTTTTCAGTTCATTCATAACACGGTCAGGTATTTTTTCTGTGTATTCACTTCTATATTCACTTATATTGTCATTGAGTGAGTTTCTTGGTTCTCCTATTTTGCTACCATTCTTTCCATCTCTAGGGTTCTGTTGACTCAGATTGCGCATGTATTCATTTTCACTGCCCCTCTTTTCATTAGGCTGACCTCTATACTCAAGACCATTGCTATTTAGTTCACTCATTTTCCGCTCATATTTATTTTTTCCATTATTGTATTCATTTATATTTTCATTATCTAAACTTCTTGGTTCTTCTGCGCTACTGCCGTTTCTAGGTTTCTGTTGACTGGACTTACGTATATGTTCATTTTCACTGCCTCTTTTTTCACTAGGCTGACCTTTATACTCAAGACCATTGCTACTTAATTCACTCATTCTCCGCTCATATTTATTTTTTCCATTATTGTATTCATTTATATTTTCATTATCTAAACTTCTTGGTTCTTCTATTTTGCTTCCGTTTTTAGGTTTCTGTAGACTCGACTTACGCACGTATTCATTTTCTCTGACTTTTTGTATAATAGGTTGACCTTTATACTCATTATCATTGCTTTTTAAGTCACTCATTCTCCTCTCATTTATATTTTCTGGTTTTTTGTATTCATTATTTTTTTCATTATCTAAGCTTTTTGGTTCTCCTGCTTTGTTTTCATGCATTCCATTTCTAGGTTTCTGTAGACTCGACTTGCGTATGTATTCACTTTCACTGCCTCTCTGCTTACTAGGCTGACCTTTATATTCAAGACCATTGTGTTTTAGATCACTTATTTGTCGTGTTGGGGTATAACCATCTTTGTTTCTTGCTTCGGCAGATCTTTCCCTTGAATCAATAGTTTTATGTATAAATTCATTTGCCTTGGTTGCACTGTAATTTCTCTCTGGTATTTCTTCTCCCATTTGGTTGTCATTATATTTTTTTTTGTCTCCCAAATTACCCATCCCTGTATTTATTGGTGCATCAGTTAAAAATGTTTGATCATCAGGATTATTTTCTTGTTCAACTAATTCTGTTGACATCGGTTCATTTACACTAGATTCGATCCCATTCTTCTCCAATTTAATTTCATTTTTACCATTTTCTCCAAAACTTGGTCTATTTTTACTCAACGTAGCTACATTTCCACCATCCTTAGATCCATAATCCCCCGGTCTAGCTCTTTGTTGGCCAATTTTACTTCCATTATCACTTGATCTAGGTTTGTGAGTAAATGACATTGTACCATGAGTGAACATTGAACCGGGACTGGTTTCATCGGAATCGTAATCGTCAAAAGTTTTATCATAATTTCTTTGTTGAAATCCACGGTCCATCGATCCGAGTATACGTTGAGGTTCGACATGAAATCCTTCCATTTCACTTTGTTCCCTTCCTTTTAAATCTGGTTTTGGTTTTGATGCAACTTTACTTGTCCAGGGCTCAACATTATCTGATTCACCATTATGATCAGTCACCTGAACTCCACCAGTATTCCTAGGTCTAGAGAGACTGGGGCTTTGGTTGCTAGTCTTACTAGAATTGTCATTATCTCTTCTCAAGTCTGTACCTGAGTCTTGTTTAGATGGTTTATTGTCATATGGCTCACTTTTATAGACCTTGTTAGGTTCAGGGTGACTTATAGTCCCAGACTTACTAAGCACGCCTCCATAGTCACTGGGATAATATATGCCAGTTTCTGGTTTGGGACGCACCTGTAAAGGGGGAAAGTAATTTTAGTGGCTGCTTTAAGATATTTGAATGTATTGAGAATAGTTTCTAAATTAATTCTTGGTTAGCTGTTTTTTGTTTGGGAAGGTACGTAGTTCTTGTTTACTAATTGTATTCAAATACATAATTATAATTATCTAAGTTCACGCACGGTCGTCACGAAGTTTCCATCTGGTGATTTCCAGTCCGGTTGTTTAGTAGCAGGCATTAAAGGCTCAATAGAACCCGACGAGAATCCTACAACATTGAATGGATGCAGCTTAATCAATAAATACAATATAAATAGATAACATTAGGGTTGATATTCAGTAAATACTCACTGTCCACATCCTTTGGATAGCCAGTACAGTCTTCGTAGCAACAACCTGAAAATGAAACAACTATATATACACAGTACATTTACCTATAATGTGTGCATACATGTTCACAATACGAATTACGAAGTACTGTGACGTTTTATCTTCACATACACAAGTGAATAAAAATAAATAATTTTATTGAACACAACATAATAGGTGGTTACTTATGTTATTTTTGTACTACACAATTTATTTGTATTATAACTTTCGTGAAACATACTAAATAAATTATTATGTTTTCGGCTTACTGACGTAATTATTTGACGAGGAACTCGACTAGTTTCAAGCCATGCTAGAGGCTCATATCCATCTCGTCAAATAATTACGTGAGCAAGCCGAAAACATAATAATTTATACACAATTTATATAGGCGTCTGCTTAAATGGGCTAGTAACAATAATAGTAGGGCTTTGTAACAACATAACATAACATCACGCCTTTTATCCCCCAAGGGGTAGGCAGAGGTGCACATTATGCCACTGTATAATGTAACACCCACTTTTCACTATTTATGTTATGAGTCCCATGTAATAGGGGGTGGACGAGATGGATATGAGCCTATTGCCATATACCGGGCACAATTCCAGACTCCGTGCTACTACTGAGAATTTTTTAAAAACCCAGTAATATTTTGTTTAAAAACCCAGTAATACTTTGGCTTTGTATGTTACATATATATAATAACAATTAGAACTTCAAACTGAAAAAGGTTCATATATCAATTACAGTAACTGCATGTAGCTTTAAGAAGTTTATAATAAGAGGGCTCATGCCTCTCAGTAAATACTGTTTGTTATCGCAAAACTTACCAGCTTTCTTTTTTGCTTGCCGCTTTTCCCAGGACCTTTAACAGATAAGATAAAATTGTCTAAAGATTTTAAAATACTAATCTAATATTTGTTTATTACTGCCTGCAATTATTATTTACATGCACATATTTATGTCAACATTACCAAAAAACCCGGCACGTTCCACTGCTGGACTATCTGGTGTCCTTTACAGGTTTTACATTCTAGAGGGTTTGCGATGATTTTAACGCTTAGTAAGCGGTTGGAGATAAAAAGATTCTTCCCTAGACAAACAGACAAACATGTAACCGACCATTAAAACGACAATATGGAACTCCATAAACATGGAGCTGCAAATCCTTACTATCCTTACTTCCTTACTAATATTATAAATCGGAAAGTGAGTTTGTTTGTTTGTTTGTTTGTTCTGCTTTCACGCCGTAACTACTAAACCGATTGCTTTGAATTTTTGCAGACGTAAAGTTAGAAGTCCGGATTAAATAATACTTTTTATCCCGGAAAAAATTGATATTCCCGAGGGAAAACAAAAGTATTGGTATAGATGGCGCTGTGTGTATTGGTATATGTCACATAGGCTACTTTTTATTTTTTGTGATGCGAGCGAAGCCGCGGGTAAAAGCTAGTAGTTTGAAATAATTTACGTAGTACTTACCTTGAAGCTTTTAGAAGGTATTTTTGATAGCCAGCGTCAATGAACTCTTCTGGTGGTTGAACAGCAACATAGGCCTGGCCATCTTTTAGCTCCAGTGGACCCTCCACCAGGTGACCGTCTATTGTGTATAAATATATTTGGGGCTGTCTGGAAGTGGAAAATAATAAATGAGTTGAACCTTGGACTAAGTACTAAGCTAATAAAACTACGGTTTTTTATTTAAATTATATGTTAGAATTTTTTCCTTTTCTTCTCCTCCTAATGACATCATGTGATTTATTTTATTGCAGGATTCGAGACAGTTGTTCAATTTGTTCATGTTCCTGGAATGAGCCGGACGTCATTGTTTTAATAATGTCACGGTTGTTTTAATTGTAGATCGTGGCCTACACGAGATACAGCCATTTTGAAATGTTGAGGCGGGCTTGTCCCAATAAAAAACATGTAGGGTTACAGTTAAGGGTTGTTATTAGGTATTTTGTTTTCAATGCAAACTTCATGGTTATAATTAAAATTATAAAAGATTCGTAATTACTGTATTCCATAATGTGATTGTGCCAATTGGTTCAATGTTGCCTCCCACCAGTTGAGCTCATCAGCGTCTAAGTGATATTTCCTGGGTGGTGAGTACTGCTGACCGTTTGAGAACAAGAATATCTCAATAGAATGCCAATCTCCTTCGGTATTTGGGATCTTCGCGTCTTCTGCATTCATACTCAGATTCATTTACACTTTAGATTTAGTAATTAGCTCTTTACACATATCAAATCCATATGAAATATTTCGTAAATCTTTTCATGCAAATTTACAGCAGATTTTGTTCACATTAAAATCATTATATAAAAAAATAATACAAAATATCATATTCGTTTAAGTAATCATTTAATACAGTGTTTCCTTAATTAATAACAGTAAAATTTTATGATATTTTCTAATTAATTTTGAAAACACCGCGACATTTCATATAAACATTAATGACATTAGAATTTCGAGTTGCCACTTCTTAATTTTTAAAAGATGTGACGCCTTCTTTCTTTGTAAAATGTAATGTAATGCAATATTTTGCATTTTTTACATTCAAATTATGTTGTAGCTCTCTTTATTCATTGAATTATACCTTCATCCTTCTACAATATCTATCTGTAGATTCTGAAATGAATTCTAAATTAATTGAGCTTTAACATGATACCGATGGGTACACAAGAGAAGCTATAAACACAATATAATACCTAAAAGAAAAAAAACCTTATTAGTATCTAACTTAAGTGAGACTGAAATGTGAAGAAACTTCTCTAATGCTCTTTTAGTAGAATGCACTTTGTAGTAAAGTAGTAAAACTATTATCAAAGTGCAATACAAGCCAACTATCCCGCTTGATTTAGGTAGTCAAAGTTCGACACTTCGCTCCTAGGGTCAACGGTCGGCGCGCCCAGAGAGGGTGGACGACTCACTAAACTTGACATTTCATTAACCTATAGTGTTATTTTTTAGTTTCCCCTATTTGGGGTGTCAAGACATGTTCGAGTTTTGGTTACTCATTGTTTTACTAATAGTACACTGAATATAATTTGCATTCAGGATTTTTACTGACTCGTCGACTGCCTCGTTGGCCAAGCGGTCGCAAGTGCGACTGCCGGGCAAGGGGTCTCGGGTTCGATTCCTGGTTCGGGCAAAGTACTACTGAGTTTTTATAAATTCTCAGTAGTAGCACGGAGTCTGGTTTTGTGCCCGGTATATGGCAATAGACTCACTCTCTATGACATGGGACTCATAACATAAATAGTGAAAAGTGGGTGTTACATTGTACAGTAGCATAATGTACACCTCTGCCTACCCCTTCGGGGATAAAAGGCGTGATGTTATGTTATGTGTTATGTTATGATTTTTACTGATTCATATCTGATTATAGTCACAGTTGAGTACTGCCAACTAGTCAAATTCAATAAGTTTTTCGAACTGTCAAAAACGACAGTTTTCTATGAATTTTGTACGAGATTGTGTATTGTGACGTTACGTTTTTTAAGAGTCAAACAGCGTACTTACTTATTTCTAATACTAAAATTAAGTTGGTCATAAAATCAATGAATGAAAGTGTGATTATTTTTAATATTTTATTATACATATTGAACAGTCGAAATAAATTATTTTTGACTAGCGGCCCGTCCCGGCTTCGCACGGGGGGACTTAAGATTTTTTACATAGTTTTACGTTTTATTTATATTTATTCTCAGATTTTTTTTTAACGACCTGCCCTCCGTTGTCGATGTCGCGTCTTAAGGTAACCGATTGAACAATTCAAAAGTTATCTAGAGCAAACTTTTATAAGGATTGAACCATTCATTAAAACGATTGTTATGGGTAAACTATAAAAGGTAGACATATACTCTCGCGGACTTTTTTAAAAATAATGTCAAGATAAACAATTCATCTATAGAACATTTTTGTATAACTTTAACTATATGCTCAGCGCACGCCACGGAAGGCCTCAGAAACGATACTTTTCCCCCGTTTTTAAAACATTTTTGGTTACTGCTCCACAACTATAGGACCTAGCGTGATATTATATAGCCTATGTTACTTCTGAATAATGCAGCTTTCGAATGGTGAAAAAATTATTGCAATCGGTTCAGTAGTTTTTGAGTTTATTCATTACAAACATACAAAAATACAAAAATACAAATCTTTCCTCTTTATAATATTAGTATAGATTAAGGCAAGTACCTACCCAGTTGTATGTATTTCTTTTCTTCATTAACACATTGAACGCCATGGGGGTCACTGGTGACCGACGTTAGCGGAGGATTTGCCTTCAACAGTTTTCTATTGGCAGTCAAAGTCTTAATATAGATAAATTGAAAATAAGTAATTATCTAGACCGTACCGTACATAGATTGAAATTGTATTAAATACTTAGTTGATATCGAACAGTGAAAACTTCCTTTGCTTTACGAAATATGAAGCTGTTTTCAACAATTCTTTACGTAAAAGACCATTGTTTTGTGACAGTTCGGACAATATTATACTAAAACATCGTGTCTGCATTTAGATGCGCCGGCGCGTGTCACTCTCGGTCCTCATTTGCATTCGGTTTCACTTTTCTCCCGCTATATTAGTTATGGCAGAGTCATCCGTAACAATATCAGTAGGTACCATGTTTTAGAAATCTGTTCATTCACCTCTACATATTGCGACGAATCTATATTTGACATGATTTGTCGAATGGTAGTCAATTTACATATATTTTAGTAAGTTATGATTTCATAATGTGATGGTTTTAATTTATTTAAGTTCTCCATCATTTAAACCAGATAGACCATACGTATCTACTTACTGTAAATATAATGTTATTTAATGCTAAAGAAAGTTTCCTCTTTTTCCAAAATCATTATTTTTGATAATGTAACCAATTACATAAATGAAAATTGTATAGTTTAATTATTTTGTGTTTGAGGTTAACAGCTAGTTAAACCTATAAACGGTTTAGCTGCTTTATTTTTTGTATTGAATTTTGTATCCTATAATAGGGCTGACATTTTCCTCTAAGGAAAAAAGCCTTCTAATTAAATAAAGATTAAAAAAAACCTATTGGATATTTTTTTTTAAACTACGTTTTAAAAAACCGACTTCAAAGCCGCCTCTTTTAGGAAGTCGGTTAATTAATATATTAAAACCTTCTACTAAGTGCAACAAACACTTTTCTGAAAACCGCATCAAATTGTTTCAGCCAATCGCGAGATAATCGCGCACAAGTACCTATACACATGTACATACATACATGCATTCATATGTACATACCACAGAACATATAAAGTTATGTGTTATGTGATACATACAGTTCTAACTGAGAATCTCCTTATTCTTTTGAAGTCAGTTAAAAACTGTGTTCATAATTACACATATCCTCTGTTAACTCATATCTACATATCTACCTACCCTTTGTAAAGTTAAGCATGACTTGTTTTATCAAACCTTTGCCCTTGTGCTAGGTGTATCATTGTTTGGGAGCCTTTGGTGCGTGTGTCGAGCGGTTAGAAATGTTTTGTCTTGCCCAAATGGCCTTCGACCCACGTAGCCACTTCACCCACTCTTACTTACTTCTTAGTATATTATGTTATATCTCCTCGACTTCACCTGGCCTACGTCATTTGTATATTTTGAAAATAAATGTGGGACGCAAATTTTTCTAATCTTATTTTTAGACGCGACTCCCATGGACTCCCGGAACACCAGAGGCGTGACAAGTGCGTTACCGGCTTTTTGGAACTAGGAATTTGAGGATGATTTGGGATTCAATTCGATGGGGGTAATTGGGCCTCCGGTAACCTCACTCACACGACGAAACACAACATAAGCGTTGTTTCACGTTGGTCTTCTGTGAGGCCGTGGCAGGCAGGCAGGCGTGTCTATTCTTAATGAATTATTGTAAGTACATTAAGTAGGTTCCCGTAAAATTACTAGTTATAATATAGATGACAATACGGCACTACAAGTGTTGCCTATATGAGCACAAGTTACGGATTATTCGGTTAGTGATCTCTACATACTTCTTACATTTTTCTCTGTCATTAAAATAAGTACCTACAAGTATGACCAAATGACCATGATCTTACAGCAAGAATGTTACATATTTGAAGATGTAATATTACACGTAGCATACAAGACATGTAAGAATTTTAATTGAGCGAAAAATGATAATTTTGATTCCCATGACCATGTGGTGAAAAGGAACGTTTTCACACAGTGTGGGATTCTTTAAAATATGTTTTTAATGAAATTATACAATTGTATGTTTTGATTTAAAACACATAATGTGTTAAGAACGATATTTTATTTAACTTTGTTCACCCCGAACTTAGACTTCATCATTTGTGGAGTGCACGGTTGGCGCGGTGGCTGGGCATCTGACTGCCGCGAAACATGTCGCGGGTTCTATGTTCTATTCCCGCACGGAACAACTCTTTGGGTGATCCAAAGATTCTTGTTTCTGGTCTTAGTGTCATGTGTATGTGAACTTGTATATTTGTGAATGTACCAACGACACAAGAAAAATTCTAGTGTGGGGCAACGTTTTTTTTAAATCATCTTCGCCTGCGCCGGGTGCCGGTAGATGATGATAACTAGTGTCCTGATCCAAAATCTTCGATTAAGATAATTTATGAACAATACGTGTATGGAGTTTCTGTTAGAGTCGGAAATCGATAGGTAAAGAGATTTTGGATCAAAATGGTTATTAAGATTGTCTGTCAGTCCTTTAGGCAGAACAGTAACTTATTACTTGCATCCAATGGTGCATTGAAATCATCCACGACTGAAAATTGGTGTTAAACGATATTATACATGCTAATAATCACATAACCACACACCTGTCTGTAGGCAGAGACTATGGAACTCCAATTGCTACAACAAAATGTAAATAATGTAATATGTAATGTTAAAGGACTGCCTCGTTGGCCGAGTGGTCGCAAGTGCTACTGCTGGGCAAGGGGTCTCGGATTCAAAGTCAAAATCATTTATTTCAATTAGACCAGGAAGGCACTTTTGAACGTCAGTAATAGAAATTTAAAAGTGCTATTTGCTCATTCCAATTCGATTTCCGGGTCGGGCAAAGTATTACTGGGTTTTCAAAAATCTCAGTAGTAGCACGGAGTCTGGAAATGTGCCCGGTATATAGCAATAGGTTCACCCCCTATTACATGGGATTCATAACATAAATAGTGAAAAGTGGGTGTTACATATGTACAGTGGCATTAAGTGCCGAAATGTGCACCTCTGCCTGCCCCGTCGGGAATAAAAAGG